ACTTATATATTATACCTGGTGGTACACTTATCAGGTGGACTGTGTGCTCGTTTGTCACCTATCCTATAAAAAAAATTAAAATGTTCGTGACGTTTCATTAGGAGGAAAGTCACCTGGTCACGATTGGCTTAGCATCGAGCACTTTCCACACGCTGGACCGCACTTACCTAGACTGCTGGCGCTCTTTTTCACCCTCTGCATGAGGCACTCTTATTTGCCGGAAGAGCTAATGAGAACGGTCGTGGTACCGATTTTGAAAAACAAAACCGGCGATATTTCGAATATGTGCAACTATCGGCCCATTTCATTAGCGACAACTGCGGCTAAGATACTTGACAGTGTGCTTGAGAGACAGTTAAAAGTACATATTAAGTTAAACGATGCACAATTTGGTTTTAGACCAAATCTATCCACTGAGTGTGCAATACTGTCGCTGAAGCACATTGTGAGGTATTACACTGTAAGGAATACGCCAGTGTATGCGGCTTTCCTGGATCTTTCAAAGGCTTTCGATCTTGTCAGGTATGACATTCTGTGGGATAAATTGCGAAAGGCTGGTCTACCCGTCTCATACATTAGCATTTTTAGCTATTGGTACGGTCATCAAATTAATCAGGTTAGGTGGTCTAATGCACTGTCGGACGAGTATAGGTTAGAATGCGGTGTGAGGCAAAGGGGGTTAACCTCACCTACGCTTTTTAATCTATATATAAATGAACTTATTCATAGTTACGCAGACGACATGGTGCTTCTGAGCCCGACGGCTTTTGATCATATGTGAGGTTTATGCAGAAGCCCACGGTTTAAAATATAATGTTGCAAAGAGTGAGCTCATGGTGTTTAAGGTGGGCACGAATAAACCTAATTTCGTACCACCTGTAACTAGGGGGTGTTGCACTTAAACGAGTAACCGAATTTAAGTACCTCGGCCATGTGGTTACCGAAGATTTAAAAGATGATAAGGATATTGAAAGAGAAAGGAGGGCGCTGGCTGTCCGCTGCAATATGCTGGCCCGCCGGTTCTCACGTTGTACAGTCGAGGTAAAACTTATTTTATTTAAGGCCTATTGCCAATTCCTCTATACGTGCGCCTTATGGGTCAGATTTACGCAGCGGGCATACAACACCCTACGTAAACATTATAATAACGCTTTTAGATTGTTGCTGGAGCTCCCACGTTACTTTAGTGCATCAGGTATGTTTGTTGTCGCCCACATAGACAATTTTTCAACACTGATTCGCAAAAAAACTACGTCACTGATGCACAGGGTTCGTGGGAGCGCCAACAGCATTCTTAACGTAATTAGCGAGAAACCGGATTGTACTTTTTTGAGGCACTGGATGCATGTTCATGTCCATGTATCCGTTGCCTCGGACAGGCAACCCAGATATATGAAGTAATTTTTATTCAATTTTACTATCTACTTTTAACAAATTATCGTCTGCAATAAATAAATAATTATTATTATTATATCATTAATATAAGTTATGTTTATGATTTTGTTAATATATTATTAAGTCGGGTCTGTTGTGTGTTACATTTATATTGATTTACATTATTTAATTAATATTAAATAATTATTATATTTTCAATATTATTATGAATACTTATGCATTTGATATATTAATTTTAGTAATGAGTAATAATTTTAGTATTAGAATTAACTTGAATGAATGTAATATTACCCTATGATCCTTGCTGGTCGAAATAAATAAATAAAATAAAATTACAATCGGTTCAGTCATTTCGAGAATTAGCCCGGACACACAGACAAACATGAAAGACAGATGAAATTTAAAAATGGTTACTAAGTTTTATTGGCATGCAAATAACCCACTCATATTAATTAGAAACAGTTATTTTGACATTAGAGAGAGACACAATTTTATTTAAATGTATAAATAGCACCTTAAATTTGTAAAAACAGGCATAATGTTTAAAACGTATGCCTCTAATCGTAAAGGACCATCAATCTTAAGGCCAAGGTTACGACACGTTGAATAGGCTCTTCATTCAAGAACATACTGGGTTCCTTGTCAGCTATTTTAATTATTTACTGCGGTGATCCTAATATCATGTAATTTGTCTTAGAGGGGCTTAACATAAGATTTGTCTTTGACTATTCTGAAATCCAATTTAAATCACTCGTTTCATATGTTTCATGTCTGTGCTATCTTTTTATCTCGTTTTTATTAATTTGCTTTTGTGTATAAGTGTGAGGTTCGAATTTATAAATTTATTTAAAATAGCTCCTCGATGAGCTTTTTTACCACGTGGTAGAACCCAGCTACAGTTATATTAGGTTTGTAGCACGAATGGGTCGGATCGACCGGGGAAGGAACACGCTCTTATGCTATGCTGTGTTTTCTATGATGAGTGTAGAGAACCGAAGACCCTTATTATTGGAAACGAGGCATTTCATCTTATTCCTCAGCGGTGACAATGCATCTGCATTTTGATTCTTAATCGAAGATAGATGTAGATTTATATGGGCCACAGCATCCACTTATCATCAGGTGGACTGTGCTCGTTTTTCACCCTTATACTGTATAAAGAGCTAGAGAATTCAAATTTTGAACATAGCTCACATTCAGATGACAATGTATAAATATCGAAAAAAAAACGAAGTATATCAATAATTTTTTCCTATAAAGTTATTTATGTTATCTTTATTTATTTTGTCTTTAATTTATTTCTATTATTAAATGAATGTAAGTTGGTAAATAATAAATAAATTGTCTAATAGGTATGGTTCTGTATTGCCCCACTGAAACTATGCTATTCCAAAGATCACAGTTGAGCTGCAATTTGTGAAATTAATTCGCGTAAAGTTCAGCCTTAGGGCCTACTCCTGAAGACTGGCCTCCTCCCATTTCTTATTTAACTTTTTTCGTCTATAATAGATACAATCGCGCCTCATTTAGCTATTATTTTTAATACTAGTAACGAATCTGGTGTGTTTCCTGATTTAATGAAGCATAGTAAAGTAATACCTGTAAAGAAATTACATTTCTTTAAGTTTTGTTATTGTTTATTAAATTCTTTTATGGTTAGTCGATAAAGCAGAAACAATTTACTTCGCTACTTGATAGATGGCGCTGTCAAAGTATTTGAGTGGACTGTAGATAAAGCAGACGGTTTCGAAGATGGCGTCAGTAAAATGTTAAAATTGTAAAACACGTAAACAATCGGATAATAATAAAATAACTAATAAAGGGAATCGACAAGTGTAATAACTTTTAATGTCGTTTCTTTGTTTTTTCAGGTATGTTTAGTGATTATTGTAAGGTGTAGTTAAGTGAAAAATACAAATGTACAAATAATTTATACTAATAAAACTTTGTTTTTTCAGAGCAACACAAACGTTTATTTCACCGATTCCCTATAAATTACACGAATTGTCTTATAAAACGACATTTCTAGTTAAAGAAAATGGAGAAGTTAAGATTTACTTTTGCGGTATTAGCGGCAAGTGATGGCAAAACAAATGTAATCTGCATAACCTCAATTGAAACACCCGATGGACGTAATTATAATGTTCCGGACGAAATGAAGCCTGCAAGCAAACACACGAGTATTGTGAGCACAGAGGTATTCACGAAGGTCAAGAATTCTCTAAAAAAAAGACATCAAATACGTAAATTGTGGATTCCATTATCTCCGGAATTGAAAAAAATCTATTTAGATGAAGGCGAAAATTTGCAGTTTGGAGATCAATATTTAGATTAAATTGAAGAGGAATCCAGACCACTAGTTCACAAAAACTGCGACGTCGGGTCTGGAAATAAAAACCTAGGAAAAACATCTGAAAAATTTTTAATTGAGAAATTTTCAGGAAAAAATTCCAATGTGAATCAATGGATGGAGGTGAATTTGAGAATGAGTGTGAACGATTCGAAATACTACAGGATACAGAGAAAATTGAGACTTTAAAGCATCTACTAGAGAAACAATGACATGATTGGTACACTAGTATGTTGATAAAATTCACTGTAAATTCAGAATGGACTGTTTGGAAAAATAACTTTACTGAGACATACGGAAATAAAGGTTGGTCACAGGTTAAATATGCATTTGCCTATAAATTTCAAGCGGGTTCAGCACTGGAATATGCTACGAAAAAGGAAAGGCTGTTATTAGAGGTAAATAAACACATAGATACACAGACGATGATAAATCTTATCGCAACTGGCCTACCAGATTACATATTGGGCAAAATTGATAAGGAATCTATTACATCCACTGCAAGTCTTTTCAATGAAATTGGTAAATTTGAGCATACAACAAATAAACATACCTACTATAAACCAAAACGAGACACATTTGAAAATAAAGGAAAATCTGATAAATATCAAGCCTGCAAAATCTGTGAAAATTTGAACAAGGGAACTCGTTATCACACAGAAGAAAAATGCTGGTTTAAAAAAAGTGAGCAGCAAGAAAACAAGAGAAATCACTACAGGAATATAAACAATACTATATTAGATCTTGAATTAAATGATAAAGATCCAAAAAACTAACAATCACACCATTAATCAAAGTCAAACTTACATTAGATGAAAAACTAAACGTTTTTGGCATATATGATTCAGGATCTAATGTGTCCTTGATTAATTCCAAATTAGTAAAACTAAAACAAGAAGAAGGAAAAAGAGAGTTTAGTAATGCAAATTTAGTAACAATTAATGGTGTGAAGAGTACAGGAGGTTTGACAACAATAAAGCTTAAAATACTAAACATAGAAAAAAAATGCGACGTGTATATTGTGGATGGAAAAGATTTTTAATATGATTTCCTTATTGGACTAGACATGATAAAAGAGTTTAGATTAGTTCAGAATGAAAACCTGGAAATCACACAAAAAACCAAAGACAACACTGATATGGAACTAAATGAGAAATTGACTTCTAAGGAAGGTAAGAGTAATGCACAATTTTACTCTAATAAATTCTCTATAAATTTCAATCGACATGTAAATGAAAAAAATTTTTAGATAAAAATGGGTAATTTAAATGCTCAACAAAAATTTGAAATAAATACACTGATTGACAAATATAAATCGAGTTTTGCGAAGGATAAATACGACATTGGAACAGTAAGAGACTATGAAGCACATATCGACCTCCTAACGGACAAATACTGTAGTAAAAGGCCCTATAGATGTTCAATGGAGGACAAAAAAGAGAAAGAAGAACAGGTGGCAAAATTACTTCAAAAAAATCTTATAGAAGAATCATACAGCCCGTTTGCAGCACCTGTAACTTTAGCTTTTAAGAAAGAAGATAATAAAAGAAACAGATTATGTATTGATTTCAGAGATCTCAACAAAATAGTAACACCACAAGCTCAACCATTCCCGTTAATTGAAGACTTGGTAATAAAAACAAGAAACTGCAAGTACTTCTCAACATTAGATATTAACTCTGCATTTTGGTCCATCCCACTGCGAATTGAAGACAGAAAAAAAACAGCTTTTGTTACACAAGAAGGCCACTTTCAATGGACGTGTCTACCCTTCGGCTTGAAAACCTCTCCCGCAATATTTCAAAGAATCCTGAGCAACATACTAAGAAAACATCAATTAACTGATTTTACAGTCAATTATATAGATGATATCCTGGTGTTTTCAAAGTCTTATAATGAACATATAAACCATTTATCACAATTACTGGAAGCAATAAAACAAGAAGGATTTCGACTAAAATTTACAAAATGTACGTTTGCGTCGAATTCTGTAATATATCTTGGACACATAATAGAAAATAATACAGTTCGACCAGTCAGAGATAATTTAATTTCAATAAGAGAATTCCCTACGCCAAAAACTCTGAAAAATGTCAGACAATTTTTGGGGAAAATTAATTTCTACCATGAATACATACCCAAGAGCACAATTATATTAGAGCCCCTATATAATTTACTGAGGAAAAATCAAAAATTCATTTGGTCAACGGACTGTAAAAATTCATTTCAAGAAATAAAAGATTTACTTTGCTCACAACCCATCTTGGAAATTTATGATCAAAATTTGCCAGTAAATATATACACAGATGCATCATTGGAAGGTATTGGAGCAGTGCTAAAACAAATTCAGCCAGACGGAAAAGAAAAGCCAGTAGCCTATTTTTCAAGAAAATTAAATGAATCCCAAAAGAAGAAGAAAGCAATATACTCAGAATGTCTGGCTATTAAAGAAGCAGTACGATATTGGCAATATTGGTTAATAGGGAAACCATTCACAGTATATTCAGATCACAAACCGTTGGAGAACATGAATGTTAAATCTAGACTAAAACTTAAACTAGTGTATTATTTATCGCAGTATGACTTTCAGATAAAATATGCTCCAGGTAGAGAAAATTTGGAAGCAGATTGCTTAAGCAGAAACCCGGTACTGAATGAAAATGAAGATATTGATGAACAATTAAAAATAGTAAATTTGGTAAAATTAGAAGATATCAACACAGATCAAGAGAAAAATAAAGATATACATGATAACAAGAATAATTTGACATACAAAAACAACATATTTTATAAAAAAGTAAAAAAACATGAAAAAATAATACTGTCGGAAGATTTCAGTATAAAATTTATAAAAAATATTCATGAAAATATGTGTCACATAGGTGTAAGTCAGATGCAAAAAGCAATTGGTACAAGATATACAGCAAAAAAATTAACAGCAAACATAAATAATATTTGTAAAACTTGCCATATATGTATAAAGAATAAAACAAGAGGACAAGCTAAATATGGCCTAGTGTCACACTTAGGACCCGCCACAAAACCATTTGAAATTATCTCCATAGACACAATTGGAGGCTTCGGAGGCTCGCGGTCGACGAAGAGATATCTACATCTTCTAGTGGATCACTTCACTCGTTACGCATATATACTAACCTCGAAGATACAGAATGCAAAGGACTTCATAAAACTGGTTAGTAATATAACGAACTTAAATGATATCGATATTATTCTCGCAGACCAGTACCCTGGAATAAATTCAAATGAGCTTAAGACGTTTTTGAATGACAAATCAATTGCGCTAGTTTCCACCGCAGTAAATTCACCATTTTCAAATGGCTTAAATGAGCGATTAAATCAAACGCTGGTCAAAAAATAAGATGCCAGATAAATGAAAAACCTAAAACCATAGCATGGACAACAATTACTCATAACTGCGTAACTAAATACAACGACACGGAGCATACAGTCACCGGCTTCGCACCGAGATACCTACTAGATGGGACAGATGTTACAATTGTGCCAAATGAATTAAAACAAGGCAAAAGAATAGAGGAATGGATTGAAGATAGGAAAAAAGCGTTACAAAATACAATAAAATCTCATAACTATAATAAAATGTTGATTGACAGAAAAAGAAAAGACTATAGTTTTAATAGGGGTGATTTGGTATATGTTGAGAATGGACATAAATTAAATAGGAAAAAACTGGATGAGCTAAGGATTGGACCTTTTAAAATTGAAGAAAAAATATCATCTTCAATATATAGAATAGATACAGGACACAGAAAATCCGAGTCAAACCTTTTTCACGTCACAAAGCTCATTCCAGTTCCTAAATAAAGAACCGAGTTAAGAACATGATGTACAACGAGTGTGATTTAGTTATAACTATTATAATAATTGTGAGTAAGTTTAGGTATTGTTACCGAAAATTTCGATGAAATTTTCTGCCCTGGGGGAGGAGTTGTAAAGAAATTACATTTCTTTAAGTTTTGTTATTGTTTATTAAATTCTTTTATGGTTAGTCGATAAAGCAGAAATAATTTACTTCGCTACTTGATAGATGGCGCTGTCAAAGTAATTGAGTGGACTGTAGATAAAGCAGACGGTTTCGAAGATGGCGTCAGTAAAATGTTAAAATTGTAAAACACGTAAACAATCGGATAATAATAAAATAACTAATCTTTGTTTTTTCAGGTATGTTTAGTGATTATTGTAAGGTGTAGTTAAGTGAAAAATACAAATGTACAAATAATTTATACTAATAAAACTTTGTTTTTTCAGAGCAACACAAACGTTTATTTCACCGATTCCCTATAAATTACACGAATTGTCTTATATACCTTTATTTAAATCTGGTAGTACATTAGACTCCGCCAATTTTAGACCTATTTCTGTACTACCAACACTTAGTAAGATTTTTGAAAAAATTGTTCTTGATCAATTTTTTTTAATATAAATAATTTACTTCATAAAAATCAATTTGGTTTCACAAGGGGTCGCTCGACAACTGATGCCGGTGTTGAGCTGATTAAATATATCTTTAATGCATGGGAGAATTCACAGGATGCTTTGGGTATATTTTGTGACGTATCCAAGGCCTTCGATTGTGTTCACCATGAATCATTATTCAGGAAACTTCAACACTACGGTGTAAGAAGTGATGCTCTTAAATAAATTATTTCATATTTAAGTAAGAGAACAATATAAGCTCTTCCGGAACTATGGTACAAATGGGCGTGCCTCAAGGCTCAATTCTCGGCCCCTTTCTGTTTCTTGTATACATTAATTACTTACATTACATAGTAGAGGATAATCATGATATAGTATTATTTGCAGATGACACTTCTTTAATTTTTAAATTAAGTCGACAATTACTAAAATATGAATGCTATATCTAAATTAGTAAATCGGTTCAATGTTAATAATTTGCATTTAAATGGCACTAAAACGAAATGTATGAAATTCATGACTCCAAATGTCAAACAATTAACTACTAATGTAATTTTAAATGGGGAGAAACTGAGTCTTGTAGATACCACCATTTTTCTTGGAATCACACTAGACGCGAAGCTTCAATGAAGCCCCCATATATCAAAACTAGCAAGCAGACTTAGTTCTGTAGCATATGCTGTAAAAAAGATTAGAAGTCTAACCAGTGTTGAAACAGCTAGATTAGTTTACTTCAGCTATTTCCATAGCATAATGTCGTATGGTATTTTGCTATGGGGACACGCAGCTGACACTGAAATTATATTTGTTTTACAGAAGTGGTCCATAAGAGTAATTAATGATTTAAAGCCTAAAGAGTCGCTGCGACAAAAATTTAAGGAAATTAATATATTAACTTTGGCCTCTCAATACATTTATGAAAATGTAATGTACGTACACAAAAATAAAAGTAGTTTTACAAAAATAAGTGATATTCATTCTGTAAATACTAAGAACAGACACAAGCTAGTAGTACCTGTTACTCGACTTCATCGAGTCAGTAATTCATTCTTGGGGCGATGTATACGCTTTTACAACAAAATTCCAGAAAATATACAAAGTTTGACCTGCTCAAAGTTCAAAAACTTTATTAAACTAAGTTTGTATAAAAAGGGTTATTATAATATTAAGGAATTTATGGATGATAATAACCCCTGGAAATGAGGTGATCGCTAACAAGCTATTTCTAATTTGTTGTGTTGTTAATTTGTGTAACATCATGATTGTAAGCTGTTATTTAAAAAAAAAAGTCCCGCTGGGTTTCTCGCTGGTTCTTCCCAGGACAGAGGTTTTTTCCGAACCAGTGGTAGTCAAAGAAAAGAGTGACTTTAAATAAGTATTTTTATTTATAATCTATATTGAATAAAAAAAAGTTTCTGTTTCTGTTTCTGTGATTTCGAATTTTTTTTCATAGAACTAATGTCAAAAACAAGCACACAGCTCACCTGATGGTAAGTAAATGTTGTGGCATCTCAATCTATTCTCGACTAAGATATAATGCCTCTTTGCAAACAAAAAAGTATCACTGGTTCTCTACACTCACCACACGGAAAGCAGCTGCATTAAGCTACAAATTTATATAAGGTAACCTGCACGTCTAACAATTCATCACTCTCTGGAACTGAAATATCACGGTTCTGTTCTCACTTTATTGCCTTTTATCAAAGAAATGGCCAGCTATGCAGCAGTGGCATGGATCTTATTTTAAAAATAAGTTCTGAAATGTAAGCTAAATAGAAATAACCGTTCAGCCTTAAATTAAAGCTAAACAGAACCTTGGCTTGGACAATCGTCGTCGCAATGCGGGATTTAAACAAAGCGTTAATGTCAGCCCCGGGAGACAATAAAACTACCTCAACTGTAGAACTACGGCCCGAAAAGGTACCCTTGTATAAATTAACTTTACCCCACCATTATTATTTAGAGGAGCATAGTTAATATGGCCACTAAATAGATAATGTTAATCTACACTAGAGAGAGAAAGCAATATACGACATGCACTCTATATCTAGCTAGTGGTTAGCTAGCTAGTTAAATTTATTTTAAGTTTTATTTATAAAAGCTTTAAACTTCTTCACTTTTAGTGCTAGTATAAGGAAATCTACTATCCTCCTGCGAGTTTCGGATTAGCTGCAAGAGTAAAATAAAACAGGATATGGGCAACAAGCAAGCAAGATATGCGATACCAGAACTTTTCTTCGATGTACAACTTTCTTGTGAAATCGAATACCACCAGCGACGACTTAGGGAACTTCAAGAAAAGAAACTACTCTTTTTTGGAGGGCCGGTAACGAACCTGCAGTTCCCCTGTACGGCGATAGTCACTGACCCTGGTTAGTGACTATCGCCGTAGAGAGGAACTGCAGCTAAGCGGCATGCTTGTTTGCTCCTCTTATTAAAAAAAAACATATTCCTGATACCAACTCAAAATAATTAATAAACGTAATTGTGAAACCAACGCCAAAAAAAGCTAGCAACTATGGGAAATACCGCTTCCCCCCACACACACATCCATACATGAGGCAATATGTGGAGATAGTTTATTTTAAGTCGTGGACTTGATATGCTGTTGTAGACTGAAATGGTAGAAGGCACGTGCCCATCACCGAAGTAGACGGACTATTATATTCTATATTCCTTTACTTTATTGCAATAATAAGAACTGAAGTAGCTCAGTACACGAGCAACAAGGGTTTGATCCCTGCTAGCACTAATGAATTTTTGATGGCAAGTTTATTTGTCACTTGCTCGGCGGTGAAGGAAAACATCGTAAGGAAACCTTTATGTCTGAGAAATTTCTTTCAAGGACATGTTTGTGCATGGAATTGACTAGCTAACACACAGTCCACCTGATTTAAGTGGATACTGTGGTTCATAAACTTCTTCTGTAGTATTCATTAAATCTATTTTTCAATCCAATTAAATATATCTATGATTTCTTATTTTAGTAAATATATTGTAAAAATAATTTTAACTGTACGCTCTTATGTACTAGCAGCCGTATTATATATTGTTTAGCTTCTATATAAAATCGACCGGCCGCTCACTTGGCACCACCCGCGCTAACACTGTCAGCGCGGGCGCTGCCGAGTGAGCGGCCTAGCCTAGCACTAGCAGTCGGTTCAGAATTCCCACACCAAATGCATGTCCGTTTTTGTTAGCTCTCTGCTTTCCCGCTTATGTACTTACTTTTATAAATTTAAATAGTAAAAATATATTATAATTTTAATCCCCATAACTTTCGTATATTAAATTTTTGCCTGAAACTGTAACTAATATTATTTAATTTGATTTAATATATGTGGCACTATCATTGCACCGCAGAGGCGTAAACGAGTCGAACAAACACCCGGGGCTAAATCAAGTTATCAATGTTGTTTTGTAATAGAATGAGGGTAACAAAGGAAGAGCTCACAGTCCATCTGGTGGTAAGTGGCTCATAGGCCACATCTGCCCTCGAATAAGAATAAAAATGCAGATGCGCGAAAAAATCAACGCGAAAAAAAGCGCAACCGAGGCTAGCGGTTGTAAATTCATCCCAGCGGACCTTCTTTACTTACCGAGTAGTACCGGTGTAGGCATATCTTTTACCCCATATCATCCCGTGAGTATCGTAAGAGGCGACAGAGAGCAACAAATTCAGATAAAGGGCTGCAGTCTTCCTAATAACGACTAAAATAAAAAAAAAACTATGGCAAATATCCCAAATAATGAGGCAATATGGGGAGGCCTATGTTCAGCAGGCCTATGTTTAGACGGCTCCGTGGCGCAGTGGCTTAGCAATGAGTTGTTGCGCTGGGGGCCTCGGGTTCGAATCCCGCACGGAACAAGTATTTGTATGGCCTACAAATAATTGTTCCACGTCTGGACGTTTGTCCTTGTGCA